TTAATATCCAGAAATCTATTGAATCTGCTCAAAAGCTGAGCTCCCATAGCTGGCTGGAGCAGAGAATTCCAAAGACTCATTTGCCTCCCAGAGTGAAGAAATTCCTCCTTATCTCCCTCTTGAAATGGTCCACCCCTTGATTCTTAACAAAACTAACAAACGTTTTTACTTGAGGCCACACAAACCTTCAACCTGCTCGGTAAATAATCCCTTCTCCCAGATTGTTTCTAACCAGGATGCGCAGACTTTAATGTTGGATTTTTCACCCTGGGTGTGAACTGTCCAACTTTGTGAGTCCAAGACATTTTTACAAGTTTCCTGGGTGGTGCCAGACTTCAATCCTGTGGCTGGTTGGGAAAGCAGGAGCTGACATGAGGCAGGATGAGGTCTGGGAACTGTGTTGGATAAGTGGTTGGTGGGGCAGGCCGTCACGGTGAGGACAGGTATAGGAGCAAAACCAAAGGCAGCTGAGGCCTGAGGCTTTCCATCAGATACAAAAGAACCTGCTCCATCCATTGCACAAGGTCAACACACAAAGAGACTCGCTGCATCTCCCTGGGCCTCACCAGGCACCAGGTTCTGCAACCTTCATGTTGTCTTGGCATGCAAGCCACAGTGGTTGGCACAGGGTTAAAGCTTCAGCCTGGCAGTACTGCATTCAGGCAGCTTTCTGGCTTCCCTGCTCCATCACATTGGGAGGCCAATGTGTGGAGTTGCAAGGAACAATCGGACCAGTGTCTCTTCAGTCGGGTGGGCCCATCCGGTTCAATTCAGTTCTTCCCTGCTTCCTACAGAAGGGATCTATTACATTTGAGTAGTGGTTCCAGGAAAAGGCTTATGCAAATGGAAAGCTGCAGCGTCTGCTTACTTAGCCCCTTTGGTTCTTGCCACAACCTTAGCCAGCAGGTGATGGCCTGGTGATATTCCTGCTGGACTATTAATTCATGGACCAAGGATAAGTTCTGGGGACCAAGGTTCAAATCTTGCTACGACTGATGGTGGAATTTGAATCCAATAAAAATCCGGAATTAAGACTCTAATGATGACTAGGAAACTGTAGCTGATTGTTGGAAAAACTGGGTTGCTAATGCCCGTTAAGGAAGGAAACTACTACCCTCACCCAGTCTGCTCAAAATGTGACTCCAAACCCACCGCAATGTGGTTGTCTCTTAACTGGGATGGGCAATAAATGCTGGTCTAGTCAATGATATCCCCATGCCCTGTGAATGAATAGAACAACATCTCCATAAGTCAGGTTTAAGGTTAGGGACAAGTTGTGTTAGAGTGAGGAAGCAGAGATACAAACACCAAATATCCCAGAAATCATGGGATTCCAAATTTCCCGCTTTCACACTCAAAACTGCCAAAGTCACTGCTGTTGGCTGCCACTAAATTCAGGGATGACCTTAGCTCAGAATTGTGGGTAAATTGCTGTGGGTCTTTGTGTGACTGAAAAGGCCGACTGTCGACCCACAGAGGGTGGGCACAGGGGCAGGATGTGGCATGGCATGCTGTACTGGGACCTGGATCCAGGATTTGCTTCTTTCTCTGTCACCCCTCAACATTAAGATGTTTAGACTCAAATCGTCATGCAGCTGGATGGGCACGTTGTCACCATTTTGAAGGATTGGTAACAAATTCCCCTCGGTCATTAATAGCAATGCTTCCATGTTTCAAGGACAGCTTCAGACTACAGGAAAACCACATATCTTGAACTCCTCATCTCTCTCATCATTTAAGTTCCTAAATTGAACAAATCCATTAACCTGTATGTAGCTTTGAATGTAATTTAAACAGTGCTAAAGCATCAAGCACCCACAGCACTCAAACTTCTTGCAATAATTCTCTGGACTAGTCAATGGGTTAAACATTACTGTCATTGTGGTGGAACTACATACATATCTGCTCAAATGTTAAGGCCTCACTGCATGCGACTGTTTAAGACATCAACTTGTGGATATAATTACTTAACTCATGGCATTAATTATTTTGAAAGAAGAACAAAAGATCAACTTTTATCTTGCAGACAAAGAAGTAATATGCTACTTTGGAAAAAAAGTCTGCTTTATTACTTTGCCCAAATAGTTGAGGTTTTCAGAAAAAGAATCATTTGCTCCCACACAGTGAGCACTTAATCTTGACCAATTCATCTGGGAGTTGTCACAAATGATGACAGGGCACTTCCCCACAGGAAAACTGGAGATTAAGTCACTCCTGCACATCTCCCAGTTCCAATTTAGAATCTGTGAATGTGTGTATTCGATCTCTTATCACTTAGATCACAATTTCTGATAGAATGGAATCTAAGGAAGCAGTCAGGGTGTGTTCGGGCACAGGGGTGGGCGGGTGGAATTAATTAAGTAAAAAGACCAATGAATTAATTTACTGGGGCATTTAACTGTTTTTAAACTGTGCAAACTCTATCGGTACCTTGTGAAAGACCCTCCTTCTGAACCTCTCCCCTTGCCTGAGGTGTGGTGGCCCTCAGGTTACACCAGCACCAGTTGTCTCTCTCTAATGAGAGAGCAGCACTATGGTCTGATAAGAGTGTGGTGACTTTACCTTTTCACCTTTTACCCGTGTTGGGTGTTACGTCTGAGCCATTCTAACCAAGCTGCTGAACTAGTAATGTAAACTGGAGACACAAGTTCAAATCTCAATGTATCAGCTGGGAGTTTATATTCATTTCATTAAAAGAAGCATGGAATAAAATAAAATATGAAACGGTTGGATTGTCATGTCAGGTTCTTTTAAGTATGAAAATCTGCCACTCTTACCCAGTCTGGTTTACATGTGATTCCTGGCCCACAGCAATGAAGTTGACCCTTAACCACTCTCTGAAATGGCCCAAGCAAGTCCCACAGTTAGACAGGGCTGACCTGCGTGAATATAAACCAGGCAGTTCCCAGGTTATAAACAGTTTGTATCCTTGAGTATGTTCATTAGTCCATTATGAGATATATGTACATCCTGTATGGGATCTCATTTATAAGTACGAGCGTGCATAAGTCAGACATTCATAAATTGGAGACTGCCTATATATTAATAAAAAGTTGCCTGATAGGTCTGTACACTCCTGTCTGTACTTAGGTCAAATGATTATTAAGTGCAAAATTAGTTTGAAAGTGCATGTTATGATTAGGATTAGGGTTAATGACTGAAAATGAAAGGAAAAAGTTAAATAATATTTGTAGTAATTTCTAATAGTCAAGGAGGGTGATCTTTTGGGATGATGTGAAAGTATTGCATGGTAATCGTGCAAACGATATTGATGTGATTTCACTGTTGTGCTGAATGAGTTATTCCATGGGTTCATAGATAGAGAATCATCAAATCATATAGTATTGAAGAGGCCCTTTGGCCCATTGAGTCTGCACGACCAAAAATATATTAAATTATACTAGTCCCATTTTCCAGCATTTGAATGTTATGACACTTCATTCAGGTACTTTTTAAAAGTTATGAGGTTTCGTGCCTCAACACCCCTCCCAGGCAGTACGTTCCAGACCCCCACCTCCCTCTGGGTGAAAAATGTTTTCCTCAAATCCCCTCGAAATCTCAGTGTCAGTAATCAGATTGCACAAAGGGTAGAGGTTAATTTTTCACTCGTGGCTGAAAATGGGTGAGGGGTCAGGGTAAAGTTAGACCCTCGAGCACAAACATCCATAGAGCACTTTTCAACATGGAGAACACCCCAAAATGTGACACAGAGTAGTCTGACAGCATGGAGGTGAGTTAGAAAAGGAGACATTCAGAAAATGTGATTAGAATATCGGTGAAGAGCTGCCATTGCAGTTAAATATAATTAAGGAATGAGATCCAAGAAATGTGTGAGTGTGAGTGAGAGTACAAATGGGACATGTAAAGACATGTTTGGCATGAAGGGAAAGACAGCAATTTTGTATTAATGTACAAGTGTTCTTTTTGAAAGGTGGTGATTATTTTATATTTGTTTTTAATTTCTATTGTGGATTGCCTTTGCCAAGTGTTTTGACTCCTGAAGAAATGGACAAGAGACCTGACTCAGAGCTATCCCATATAACCACCTGCTAGGACCAAATCAGAGCTGTCCCATATAGCCAGCTGCTAGGAAGCCTTTTGATGTTAGCTCTGGTAGAGTAGAAACATGGAACTGTAGAAGGTAGGAGCATAAGTAAACTATTTGGCCCATCGAGCCTGCTCCACCATTTAACACGATCATGGTCATCCTTTGTGTCATTAGCATACTCCCATTCTCTCCCTAGAGCCCTAGACGTCTTTAGCCTCCAGCAATTGACGTGAACCTGTATTCACTCACATACCCTGATATCCACTGCTTTCAGGAACTCGCCAGTATGGATTCGCAGAGGCAAGCTGACACATACATGAGGTGGAGGAGGTTAGTGTAGTGACAGTGCCACTGGGATAGGAATTCAGAGACCCAGCATTACTAATTCTCTGTGGACATAGATTAAAATCCCACCCATGGAAACTCTGGTGGAACTCAAATTCAACTCATAAATCTGGAATGTTCAGACTCGTCTCAGTAATAGCGACCACTGATGATTGCTGTAAAAATCCACACAGTTCGCTGGTACCCTTTTAGGGAAGGAAATCTCCCCTCCTCAAGTGGTCCAGCCGACTTGTGACTCCAGACCCACAGCAATGGCAGAGCAGGCTCGAGGGGCTGAATAGCTTACTCCTGTTCCTATTTCTTATGGTCTTAAGGTCACGGGGATTCACTCTGAATTGCGGTCTGAAATGGCCCAGGAAGACACTCAGTCCAAGGGGAAATAGAGCTGGGTAACAAAAGGCTGCCCAGCCTTGGCACCCACATCCCATAAAAGAACAAACACCACTCCGAGCCACTACTGTTTTGAGGTTCTCGCGAAGGGTGTACAAGGTGCCAATGAAGAATAGAAAACATTTTCTGCCCATGCTTTGTGCCTTGGGTAAATTGTGATGTGGAGGTATTGCTGCCAGCTTTCATTTTCCTTTATCCGTGTCATTCCCTCCTTCAGACCTGGAACAGGGATCACGATGACACTGCATCGACACATTCGGGCGGTACACCTGGGCCCTCCAGTGGGGGCCACACGTCACACAGTGGCGATAACAGCAGCGAACCAGGTAAGAGACAAAACAATCGCCCTTTTGTTTGATAAGACTCTGATAGAAAAACCTCATGGCCCATTAGGTCTAATGGCCAGTGCCGTACAATACACTGGCCAAGTGATAATGATCAAGACTTAGATCTTAGAGTGGGTGAGCAATGGAAGGCAGGCGGGCTGGGAGGGGTGGAGAGAGGGAGAGGAGGGGTAAGGAACATGGAACAGAGGAGTTGGCAATCTGAAGGGGAGGGGGCAGAGAGAGGAGGGGAAGGAGGATGGAGACAGGGTGGAGTGGATGCAAAGTGGCTGGGGAGGGATAGTGAAGAGGAGCGGAACTAGAGGGACAGATGTAACAATGGAGGTGAGGGAGGAGTGGAGAGGGAGGGAGTTCAGAAGTAAGGGAGAGTGAATGGGTTATGGAGGTGAGGGAGTGTGGAGGAGAAGTGGAGGTGAGGGGGATTGGAGGAAGAGTGGAGGTGAGGGTGAGTGGAGGAGGAGGGAGGTGAGAGTGAGTGAAAGGGGAATGGAGGTGAGAGGTGTAGAGGTGAGAGGGGCATGGAGGAGGGGGTGTGAAGATAAGGGGGAGTGGAGGGGGTGTGGA